AAGGTGCAGGAGAGGGAGAGTGGGTAGTTGGCAATAAATGCAGGAAACAAAAGAATTAAGCAACAGTGAAGTATGTACAATAGGCGATTATGATCCACATGCAGGAAAAGGGTAGGGAAGAAAAAGGTGGTCAGACAACCGAAGCGCATATAGATTGGTAATAGAAGTGAAAAGTATGAAACAGGACAAGAAGATTAAACGAACAGTGAATGCAGGAAGTCGTCTGTCCCCAATGGACAAAAGGCAGACAAAAGATATTAAAAGATAATAGAATTAAAGACCATTACAGATGCATGAAATACCCTTCTTCTCTGTTTTCATTTAAGCATTCGGTGTAGTTCCCAAAGGGATGCAATCGCAAATGAGAGTGAAGAGGATATAAAAAAAAAAAAAAAAAAAAAAAAAAATGGCATATATCAAAAGGCATTTCCCATTATGAAAATGTGACCTGAAGCTTTTAGGCCTACTTCTGCTGAGGTTGACAACATACTCCAATTTTTTTTTTGCTTGATCTAATCTCTTCAAACATTAGGTGGATGCTTCTGCTATAATGCATAAAGCATATTATCCTATTTATAAAGTGTCACATAGTAGAATATTGCCTTCCATGAAAGAGTTTGAACAACAGGCACCCTTTTCAGTGCATGAATCCAGACTAAAATTTGGGTGTAATGTTAAAAAAAAAGAAGTGGTAAATTATATGCGACTTTAAGCAGGAAGGGGAGGGCAAAGGGGTACTTAAGTGTTATAGACTTGTAAAGACTTCCAAAATGTTTTAAAGTTTCTGTTATAAAGCAAATGAGCATTTTCTTCTTTCAGCTACAGTTGATTTTTGTAAATATTTACTTTGAGACTAGTTTTCAGGATAATATGGAGACTGGCACTGTGACAGCATTAAATTAAAAAAGCAAGCACAGAGTGTCAAAGTTGGTGCCAAAATATAATTGGTGTCAAATACACGATAGCGTTTATTATTTTAAAGAGGGAATGAAGCACTTTAGTAAGATTACTTAATAAAAATCTTACTGTAGTTACACTGTTTTGGAAAGATTTAGAATATAAATGTTACAAAAATATTCAGAAGGTGCTGTTATAAGTAGATAAACAGTGCTTTTGGTCTGGTTGTGCACTGCTGCCACTCACCCCACCAGCAAATTTCCAGCCCAGTAGGCCAGATGACGCAGCTTCATACTCCATATCTAGCCTTCACGGAGCACCATGCTACTCATCTGGCCTGCATTTCAGATATTGACTGCTGTAGTATCACTCAAGCTGACATGTAGTCTTTGCGATACTTTGGCACCCCACTCTGAATCCAGCCCATTTCAGCCCTTATAAATTAATTAATAGTTAATGATCATAATCATTAATCATAATCATAATTAATCATAAGACTTCTGAAGAAAATGTTTAGTTCCCAAGGTATTACAATTATATAGCTGAACAATTGGTAACAGCTATAAATAACTTAATTTAAATGCCAGGTTGGGGAACAATGTGATTTAAAAGCTTAAATTCTCAATCTGGATATCCCGTATCCTTGTCACCTTTTAGATCTAGATTGAGACAGGTAAAAGGAAATTCTAAAACTCTTATTTTAACATGAGGTCAGTCTTTTTCAAATCTCTGACCAATAACAGTTTATTATAATCAACCACTCCCATTAATAATCTTCAGTTATTCCCCTCTATTTTAAAGAATAGAGGTACTGTTCTAAACAAAGGTATATTTTTTTGTGCTGCCCAAGTTATGTATGTACTTAATTTCAGGACAGATATATCAAGCTAACACATTCCAGTTAATTTTGTGTGTCACTAAAAATGGAAATATCCATAAATCAAATCTGGCTTTCATTTTGGCTCTAGTTTCATACCCAATTATGTCCATGAGAGGTTTATTATTTACTTTGATGGGAACAGGATCAAACCCTTGTCTAGTGATCCCCATCCAATGGTTGCAGACCATGGAACCAAATCCTGTAATGTTACTGGCAGCCACAGCGACTGAAGTCAAAGTGTGATGAGCCTGCAGTAGATTACATACTCACTGTTGCTACCCAAGGGCCAGCAAAGGTTAGGGACTACAGATTTAAAGTCTTTTTCTGAATTCTACTTAAGTAAATTACTTCAACGCAGTACTTAAAATTTTGCTCATTCAATGTGTTCACAGGTAAATCTGAATTTAACAATATTTGATGCATGAACGCTGCATGCCCCCCAGAGGCTGGGGGGGCACAGTGATTGCCTGGAGGCGGGGGTGGCAGTGGCATGGCAGCAGTGAGTGGGGAGCTCCCACAGGCAGCTGCAGCAAGTGCTGACTGGTGGTTGGCAACCACCCGCAGACACTGCTGGCAGTGGTGGCCAGCAGTGATCAGGGACTGCCCCAGATGCCAGTGGTGGTGTCAGTGGCAAGGGGGTGAGGTTGGCAAGCGGTGCCTGCCTGCAGGCATCGCCAGCAGTCAGTGGCGCTTTTTACAAGGGGTACACTGCCAAGCTCAGGGGGGTGCACGTGTACCCTTCCTACATGTCACCAGTAATTTGATGCTTATGGTACCTTCCCTTAGATGAGTTGAAAATATTTTACAAAAATGTAGCTAGTATTGTTTTACCCAAGCAATAAGGATGTATGCCTAAACAAACTGAGAAATCTTGACCAAGTTATTTATTCTGCTAATAGGAGATATTGCCAAGTCAGACTGTCAGATAGGGGTTTTGGAGCTGTAAATTCAAACCCTAACAATTGAAAGGAAATGCTGGAGAAATAATTCAAAGCAATAGGTACAGGAATTAAATAACAACATTATCCATTAATAATAATAATCTTCCAGGAACACTCAAAAGAAATATATAAACATTTTATCATAGGAAAGGGAGACTTCAGTTTACAGCTGCCAATATAACATCTTTCTTCATATTGACTTCTAAAAACTATTGATCATCCTTCACAATGTTTAAAAAGACAGAACACTGATATTTAAATATGTATGTTGGTGATACAATTAATATTAAGAGTGAGCTGGAGAGTAAATTTATGTCTGTGGATTTTTGGTGGGTTGAGAAATTGCATTATTAAATGTCAGTAATTTTTACTAAATGTTTATTTATACATATGTTATTAAACACATTAAATATATATGTTGTAAAGCTGTTTATTAATGCTATAATTATAAATATAATTATATACAACTATTTAGCAAAAATTATAGACATTCAACTATATCATTCCTCACCCCACCAAAATCCACAGGGACATAAGTGTGTTCTCTACACAGTTAATATTAAGAGTGTGATAAACAGCATAAGTATTCCAAAGAGCAGTTAACATTACAGGCGTGACAACAGTTCTGAATGCATAAGCTACTATAACATACCTGTTCTATTTGCTTTCCCCGCTTAGCAGTTCTGATAAAATTAATTAATATCTTTGATCAAAACATCTAAAAGGGAAAAGGAAAGAAGGCAATAACGCTTTTGGGTTAATTGAAAAATTGAAAAAAAAAAAAATCCAGCTAAGGAAATTCCTCTCTGAATAGCCAATAGAAGCCATAGATATATTTATAATGAAAGTTATTTATTTTGTAGTTTTAAAACTAATATTACAAATGAAAGACCAATCATCAGTTGATATCCAATGATTAGCTTAAGTCTCTTCAAATTTTATCATCCACATGAATGCAGATCCTTTAAATACATATACAGTACATTTCTGTGATAAAGAAAAGAAAAAATGATGACCAAATGCCAAACATGAGAGCAAGGTGTGCTCGTGGCCTGGGGGAAGTGGTGGGCGTGGCCTGATAGCTGCGAGATTGGCGGTCCCGGCCCGCGCTGATTGGCAGGGGGCGGGCGGATGCAGCCCGTTTAAAAAAGAAAGCGCGCGCCCCAAAAAGGAACAGAGGACCCGCGCCATATCGGACAGGCCTGATCACCCTCACCGGAGGTCCTGCGTCCACAAAATCCTTTCCCCCCCGGACGCCCCCATCACGACCGAGTATACCATCCGAACGTGTTTAGAGCTCTCGAGTCATCAGCGAGTTTAACCTTGAAACAGCTGTCAAGAAGTTTTTTTTTCCCCTGAGTGAACTGTGAGTAAAGCATTTATTTGTTATACCGCCTCCTTGGTGTTTTCTGTCAACGGAGAGAGAGAGAGACAGGAGAAGGAGGAAAAAGGACCCGTAGCCCTTTCGTCCCCGGCCTGTTCGTGCAGCACTTTTCTGGGTCCAACCACCCACCGTCAGGTTGGTCAATTTCCACAAGCTGCTACTTTTAAAAGGTACTTTGTTTTCTAATATTGTTTTCTAGTAATAGTGAAACACATGACCCATGAGCAGCACTACTTTCCACTCATTGCATCAAAAGCAGCTTCGTATTGAGCAATACTACAGCAGGGTGGTCAGCTTTTAAAAATGCATCCAAGTAGTATACAAACCTTTGATCTCTCCTTTTCTCTCCTGCAAAAAAAAAAAAAAAAAAAAAAATGTTTGGGGCATTCTGAATTCATGATAAACTTAGACCAAGGTTCATCATCCTTTCTGAGAGCTTTTTACTTTCAAGTCAGAGCTTCTTGTGATCTATGCACTTTTTTTTTTAAACTAATCAACAAACCCCAGATTTGCAAAGTCACCTGTATTGAGGCTAGAAGCACTGCCCAGCAGAAGTGAATGGGCATCTATTAGTTGGCACAAAAATCGTGTAAATAGCATAGAATTACAGACTGGTAACTATCATACTCCAAAGCTGTACAATATTCTTGGCATGTAAACATTGGGCATTTATACACATGCTCTGGGAGTGTTGGGCAGGGGAAGAGGGTGGTGCCTTAATTAGAGCAGCTCCCATAGCCTCTCTATTTAAAGCACCCATAGCTCCCATAGCCCCTCTATTTAAAGCACCCATAGCATATTACTTCCATTCTGATTTGGCACTTGTAGACAAGGAGCAAGCGAATGGGAATGTTCATGGCA